AGACATGTATACCCAACAAGGCTGGGATACAATCTGGATGAGGAGCAGGTGGCGAGAGGCCTTTCTACTGAGTAGAGGGCTGTGGCGACAGGTGCCAAAAAAGAAAGGAAGAAGGTTGTGTCTTGAGGCCTCCAGCTACAAGGATGAGGCGAGGCTGGGGAAAGTATAAAATCAGAGAAGGCGACTGTAACCATGTGTCTTGAGGTCTGTTCCGCCTCCATCATGGTCTTCGTGTCTCAGGTCTTATATTCCAGAGGTCCCTGTGGACTGTGGCAAAGATTTTTCAGAATTTAGAGAGGCAACCAGCACAGGGGTAAGCTTGGTTGCTGTACCTCTGGCCACCAAAGCAGTTGTCCTGTGGAGGGGCAGACTCCCCTGACCCTCACCTCCTGCCTCCCAAAGCTGCTCTAGGGTTTGCATTGAGGCAGTTGTGCTTTGCTGTCTTCTGCTGCCCAAGTCCTCTTTCAAAGTAGCTACTGGACTGGATGTCCAGATGTGACTTCAGGGCAAGTCCTCCCTCTCCTGTGCCTGTGCTTGGCTTCTCGGAGTAGATTTCCACCCAGCACCTGGCAGCTGCATGGTGAAATGGCTTGCAAAAAGCAACACAAGAACCTCTAGAAAGTGCCCCAAGCACTTGGCGCAGCCTTCATTCTTACCTAGTAGGTCATAGACTGATATGGTCCAACCATGGCCATAGAGTGGGAATACCTGCAACAAAACAAAGCAGACTCTCCAGTTGTCTTCTTCTGGGAATAGGTTCTTGGAGAAATAGGAACAGAGTTGTGGTCATTACACTAAAACTTTCCTGAGATTGGAGTAGATCCTTCCTACCTTCTAGCTAAGGTAGAAAGGACTATGTAGTAAGGGGACTGTGTGGCCCTTCCTAGAAATGGTGTCTGTTGAATTTTCAGCCAGGAGAGGCCAATCCTAGAAGAATTTCTGGCAGTTGGGTAGTAAACAAAGACAGCACCAGAATCTATGGATGTTCAATTGGGATACTGGTTTCCCCAATAAGAGGCACTTGCAGCGGTAATGGTTTCCACAGAGGACACCTTGGGGCTCAATGTTTCTCATTGTACCCCTTCCTTGATCTGTAGGCAGGCTCCCACTGTTCTGGGCTCCCATGGAATACAGAGCAGTCCCTCTATTCCTGAGACAGGGAGATAGAGCTCACATGGACTGGGCAGCTCCCCAGGAGTGGTGAGGTCTGGATGGGGGAGCTCTGTGGTCTAGGTACCTGTGGACAAGTGGGCTGCCCACCTTAACTCTCAGACTTGGGGACAAGGAGAGCTTAGACCCCTTACAGAGATGAAAATAAAAGCCCTGAAGAGAAAGACCAAGATGTTCTGTAGCCCTTTAGGAAGTTCTCTCTCTCCTCTTGGTGGCACCCAAGCCACAAGGATAGACTGACATGGTCCAACCATGGCCATAGAGTGGGAATACCTGCAACAAAACAACACAGACTCGCATGGTGCAGAGAAGACCTGGTTGCAGAGAGCTATGGTGCAACCAAAATGACACGAGATAACATTCCTTGGCACAAGCAGTTACATCTGTGCTAAAATTTTTCTTCCAAGCTTCAAGTTGGAAGCAGAGCCCTCATGGGTCCAAGCCTATTCTCTTCACCATGCTGAATGTTGACAATGGTCTGTCATCGACCATGGCATCCTCTCCCCCTCCATCCAGGCAGATGAGAGCCTGGAGCCTGCCAAGGACTAATCAGAATGGTGCCCGAGTCACCTCCCCATAGATAGGAAGTAGCCAAAAGGCAAATGTGGAGGACACACAGTTCTCTTTCTTCCTTTGCCGCCTCTTGCTCTCCCTCTCATCCCTTCAATCCACATTTCCCAGGCACTGACTGTGTACCCAGAAATTCTTATTTTCCCTACTGCTTCCATTTCTATCTCAAAACATAAGCCATGAAGGGAAATGTGGGGGGCTAGAAGGAAGAGACTTTAGGAGAAAATGTATGCCTAGTTGGTCTATGTTCCACTCACAGCTTGAGTCAAAGCTAAGGATCAAAGCTAAGAACCCAAAGCAAATGAAGTAGAGCCAAACCAGAGCAAAAAGAATGGAGACACCGGAATGGATAGATAAGAAGGGCAGTCTTTTGTTTTCAGATTTAGGTCCAAAGTATTTAGGTCCAAAGTATTTTGTTTTCAGATTTAGGTCCAAAGTTGTCTGCAGATCATGCTCCTATGGAAGGAATCAGTCACATGGGGCCCAGGGCCAAGTAGTAGTTCAACCCCCTTAGATCCGTCTTTTCTCTCTCTTTTTCTCCTTTGACTTGGAATTTAACAAAAGCATGTAACTATATTCTAAAAGCAAAAATCTGTGCCAAGTACTTGGAGTTGAGGAAAGAGAGGAGTAAGATGGTTTCTACCCTCGAGGAGCACACAGTCCTCTTTCTCCATTTGCCTGCTCTTGCTCTCTCTCTCGTCCCTTCAATCAGCATTTCCTGGACTCTATGTACTCAGGAATTTTTATTTTCTTGCTATTTCCTACTTCTAACTCCTTCTATTTCCCTTTCTGCTTCTATTTCTATCCCATTTCTATCCCATAAGCCATGAAGAGAAATTTGGGGGGTTAGAAGGAAGAGTAAACTTTAGGGGGAAAAATATGCCTAGTAGATCTATTTGTCCATTTCCACTCATTGCTTGGGTTGGGGGAAGTCAGTGTTTCCTTTCCTCTTTTGTTAATTTCTGCTGAGTGTTAGCTGCCAACCCCCTTGCATAGGGGTGTTATTTTCCTTCTTCTTTCACTGGCATATATATCTAAATAAATTCAAGCTGATTGCAGGTCTTTTGTCTACTTTTTAGATGAATGATGGGTTGATGCCATCAGACAGTGACCAGTTCAAAAGAGTAGAATAAGAACTGGACCCCCTCTTCCTCCCACCTGGCTCCTGTCCCAGCCACTGAGGCTCAATTTCACCCTTACAGTGGGTTCATCCCGAGATGCTTTCTCAGTCAAGCCCAAGGTATGAGGGTTTCTATAATGGCAAGTACTTTAGAGGCTAGGAAAGGAACATGTCTCTAAGATCCCAGGTATTCTTTTAGCCTTTTAGCTTTATTTATGAGATTTTTTTTTTTTATTTTAAAAGTGTTGGGTAGAATTCAGGGTTGGGTATATAAAGGGTCATATGCAGATACCCTTGTTGATGAGGTGTGTTTCCCTCCCCTGGCAGTTTCCCACTACTGCCAATCCCTTTCTTGTAGTATTATGATAATTATTCAGGGTCTGCTAATGAGTGAGAACATGTGCTCTACTCAGTTTTTTGTTCCTGTTATCACTCAGTATGATAGACTCTAAGTCCATCCAAGTTGCTGTGAAGTTCATAATTTTATCCTTCTTTATGGCTGCATAATATTCTACTGTGCATATGTGCTTAGCTTGATTTTAACTCCGAGTCTCTGGTCTCTTATTTGCTTGTTTTCTCTTTCCCAAGATGAAGTCACAGAGATCTTCAAGGATAAGGGGAGGTAGCAAAAGAAGAGATGCAAGAGGGAGTCGTGTCATGAAAGTTATCCAGTGAAGGGTTGTGCCTAGCTTTTATTTTGTTCCCAAACATCACCCATGCTACCTGTTAAGAAGCTTGGAACACCATAATTCTTTTGGATCTTTTTTTTTTTTTTTTTGAGTTGGAATCTCACTCTGTCACCCAGACTGGAATGTGGTGGCCGCTCCCAGCCACCGCAGCCTTGACCTGCTGGGCTCCGGGGATCCTTCCACCTCAGCCTTCCAAGTAGCTGGAACTACAGGCACACGCTACCATGCCCGGCAAATTTTTTTTTTTTTTTTTTCTTGTAGAGATGAGGTCTCGCCAAGTTGCCCGGGTGGGTCTCGAACCCGCGAGCTCAGGCAATCCACTCACCTCAGCCTCCCAAGGCATGGGATTACAGGCTGAGCCACCGAGCCTGGCTTTCTTTTGGATCTTAAAGGAACTTAAGATTCTTTCATCTGAAAGTATATTGCCAAAATGTAAATGTCCCTAGGAGATAGTAATTAGCTGATAGTAAATTTGAGCTGGGCTCGGTGGCTCAGCCTGTAATCCCGTGCTTTTGGGAGGCTGAGGTGAGTGGATTGCCTGAGCCCGCGGGTTCGAGACCTGCCTGGGCAACTTGGTGAGACCTCATCTCTACAATAAAT